TTTACGAACTGAGGTTCGTGATGAAACTTATTCCATTCCCCTCATTTGATGTATTTATATGAAAGATACATTTTGCTGAGAGATTAAAGGGGTATTAGGCCACTAGTTTAATTACTGTAAGACTTGTAATATTTCGTTATGCTTATGTTTTTGTATTGACGATGACATCCCAATGTTTTAACATAAATACATTTCTTCGAAAATGCTTTGATAATATCATTATCATGTTTTCTGGTAACAAATTCCGTAATATTATTCTTCAAAAATGATACTCTGATTTTTAAATAAGCATAAACAAATTGGTCTTTTCTCGCCGTGAAAATAGGGATGAGACAGAATCCCCGAGCTATCAATACCAAATAACATCAAATTAATAGTTGGATTCCAATCCATAACTATTAGTCCATAATTAGGGTAAAAAGACCATTTTACCCCTTACCTAGTTTGGACCAAGACTTAGGCCCAAACCTAGAATCCAAAAGGCCCAAACTACAACTAACCGTTCAAGGCCCATGCTTGGCCCAATTTTCCAAATTGGGCCCAAACCCTTACATGGGCCTCACCCTAAAGCCCACCAATTCTCCTAGTCCAAAACATTTGCACTCAGATGGCCCAACGAGACCCCCAAAATCTAAGCCCAAAGAATGGCCCAAACTCGAAGCCCAAAAGACTGGGTACGCGGGGCGTACTCAGTTGTACACTAAGCGTACACACTAAATGGCTTGTACGAATCGCGTATAGACTTGTACGCCCAACGTACTCACCCATTCAGTCAAAGCTCACTTTTAGCACTTAATACTTAAGACCAGAAGTCTAAACCACAAATCAAACCCTTAATAAGCACCTACAACCATAAAGTCACTGACTTGGTGACTTTGCATGCCCCAAAGGGAGCCAACTTCAAGATGTAGCACTCTACTTTCATTAAATGGACATAATCTCATGCATGGATGATTCTAAACCCTAAAGATGCCAACTTTATGGACCTTGAACCTTAGAAACACCAAGAGTGGCAACTCATAGCTCCTGGAGTGGTGTCAAACCACTAGATCTCATTCATGGGGCCAAAGAGGGTCCAAAACTCATATAAACTAAAGCTAAGCTTCTAATGAACAAGATCATAGCTTTTTACCTCAAACAAGCTAGAAATGGAGTAGAGAATCAGGATCCACAAGCTCTTCCTTGATCCATAACCTTGTACCAAACTCTTTCTTATTGATAATGAGCCAAAACACACTAAAATGCACACAATGAGCTCAAAAACACAATGGAAAGGTCTTGGGTTTCAAGATGAGGCTATATGGACGATGAAGGCTGAGAAATGAGGGTAACATGAGCCATAAGTGTGATTATATAGTGTCCAAACTCTCCAAATTAGGGTTTAAGTCAGACGTACTACACTGGGCGTAGTTTGACATATGTTGGGTGTAGTGTCGTAGCCAACCGCGTTCATTAACCCATTATGCTGGGCGTACCCCATACTACGTTGGGCGTACGGAGCCAGACACACGTTTCTTGCATTAGGGTTTCTGGAAACCTCCTGAAGCTGATAAGGATAATTGTTTCGAATAAATAAAAAATTTGAATATTTTATTATTCAAATAAGGGTAAATCCTTGTGATCCCTAGCTATAAATATGACCCCTTGGGACTTTAAATTCGTGGTTCTCACTTCCCTAAAGGCGCCGAACGAAAAAAAAAAGACCTCTTCTCCTCTATCCTCAATTGTCTTCTAGTTCTAGGGTTTAGGAGTGAGCCATTAGAGGCATCATCTTTTTGGTGCTGGTTTTCCAAGCTTTTCAAAGGAAGGATTAAAGTAACTTGTTTGCTATAACAAGTTTGAGGTATGTAACCTTGATTTCTTAATTTCGAAATTGCTAGGGTTCATGTTAATTTTGTTATTCAAAGTATGTTGCCTTCAAAGTGTAAGACGTAGATCCTTTTAGGTTGCATGTTCCCTTTTGTAACATCCCGATGATGAGATATTTTCAATTTTAACCCTATGTATGAAGGAATATTCCATTTTGACCCTTGTGCTTGAGAAATATTGCAAGAATGACCCATAGTGGCATTTTGGTGATTTTGGCCAAATCAGTTAGTGCGTTGGGCGTACGTTGTGTACGTTGAGTGTACTGGGGCGGACCCTAGTACGTTGGGCGTACACCGCGTAAGCAGGGCGTACGTGATAAATCCTCAAACCCTAATTTTTAGGGTTTCACCCATATATAAGCATCATTATCACCTCATTTCTCATTTCTTCATCAGCCTCCACCTGAGAAAACAAGCCTCTAGCAAACTCTAAGGGAGAAGAGTGCATTTTGAGCTCATTTGTGTGCTTTGGTGGTGTTCTTGAAGAATAATGAGTTAGTAGAAGGACTTTGGAGCTTGGGAGAAGCTTGGATCTGGGATTCTCCACTTGCTAGCAACCTCGAGGAGGTAAAGCAGGGACGAAGCTAAATAGTTACATGAGTGGGCCTTGGCCCACCCTACTCCAACTTGAGGGTATATATAATTATGTTAGTAAAAAAAATTTGGGCTATAAATTGTAAATTTGTAACGTGGCCCACCGTCTAAAACATTAAATTATGTTTATTTTTTTTAGCAGCAAAATCTATTTAGCATTAGGGATACATCTTGCCGTCATCTCCGTTAAATAAGGGTATTGAAACCTAATCGCAATTTGTATCAATAAGGGTATTGCAACCTAATCGCAATTTGTATCATCATTCTTATGTTCCTATTGCATTAAAACATTTTAAAGTTTAAGCTCTAATTCACCGAGTGTTACCGGGTTTGTATTTTTTTTTTTTTTTATCTTAATTAATCAGTTTGTTTTATTTATATCTTATGCAAATTTTAATTGACTTGGTTATGACCAATTTAGCAGTAAGGTTTGCGTTGATTTTATACTTTTATCGTATACATATTTTATAAAATAGGTTGTTAATTGTTGTTATGAAATAATTATTTGAATAATTGTACTGTTTTATTGTATTACATATAAGTTTGCTTTGTATAATAATATAAGATTATGTTTGTAATTGAATTTTTATGTGATTAGTAAATTTTGTTGAGCAATGGGAACAAAACAAAAAAAAATTAGATTTACTTTTCACGCATAATGTTTTACCAAGAGGTGAAGAGAAAAATACATCATCGTCATCTTTACCGATTGGGAAACCTTCAGAAGATAGTAACCCTTTATCCTCTTCAGGAAATTGATACAAGGTTCAATGAAAAAGTTGTAGAGCTTTTAGAACTTAGTCTTGCTTTGGATCCAAAAAAGGGATATAAACGCTTCAATTGTGATACTATTTGCAAACCTGCAAAAAAAATATATTATTATCTTGATTTCACAGAACAGGAAATAGATGTTCAAAATTTTCAGTTGAAGCACTTTGAAACTTATGTGAAGGATCATCCATTTTTGGGAAACTTCTCAACTATTGTTGAAGTATGTCGAGGCTTAGTAGAGACAGGAAAAGCAAGTCATTACTATCTTGTTGACAGATTGATTCAGCTTGTGTTGGCCCTTCTGGTGTCTACTGCACAACTACTGAGCGTGCATTTTCCGCTATGAAAATTATGAAGAATAGACTACGTAATAAAAGATGGATGATGATTTTATTGTTGATACTCTAGTTCTTTACATCGAAAAAGATATCGCTAATATTTTCAGTTTAGACTCTATTTTAGATTATTTTAATGATGTAAGAGAGCGTTGTGTGCAACTTAAATGAACAATTTACGTTTAAAATGCATACATTGTTACATTTTGTTACTGTTTGAAGTAGTTTGCGACTACTTTATATTTTGTAAATTATTTGGCATGCCCTAAAACAAAACCCTGACTACGCCACTGAGGTAAAGCTTATTGCTTGATCATATTATCTTGTAGATCTAGCCATTTCTTTATTTAGGGCATTTTAGTATTTTACTCTTGCTACATATCTTCTATTGTACGACCACTTCATCTCCCACTATTATAGATATTTTTGGCAACAAGTTCCATATCTTCTTAGACAAATTATAGATATTTTTGGCAATGAGTTCTCCATGACTAATCTTTGGGATATGAACTTCTTTCTCGACATTTTTGTCTCAAGGGATAAAAAAGGGTATGTTTTATCGTAGGAAAAATATTCTTATAAAATTCTAGAGCGTGCCCACATGTTTAATTGCAAACCTGCACGCACTCTGACTAATACCTCAACAAAACTCGACCATATCTCCCCTGTCTCTCTCTGACATGACATTATACAAAAGCCTATGTGGTGCTCTGATGTACCTCATATTCATCGGTCATGACATCACTTACGCAGTTCAACTGATATGCCTACATGAATGATCCTCGTGAGTCCCACATTACTGCTTTAAAGCAAATCCTACAATACATTTAGGGCACTACACACTTTAGATTGCAACTCGTTGTCTCTCTCATGCGACGTCTTATTACTTACTTTGATGTTGACCGGACACGTTACCTAAATACCAAGTGATCCACATTGAGCTATTTTGTATTTCTTGGCCCAAATTTGCTTCATTGGTCATCGAATAGGCATGAAACCATATCTAGATCTAGTGTCGGGGTTGAATATCGTGAGGTTGCTAATGTTGTTGCCGAAGTAAGTTGGGTATGAAACTTGAGGCGTAAACTCTATCAACGTATGTCCATCAATACCATTGTCTATTGTGACAATGCTAGTGATGTGTATCTTGGTGCCAATCAAGTACAATACCAACGGACCAAAACATTAAAACAGACATCTAGTTTGCTCGGGATATGATTGCAAGCTACTTGTAATGGGTCATGTTTGTGATCTATATGTTGCCTCCTTTTATGTTGTTGATTGATATCTTCATCAAATGGCTTCCTTTTACTTTATTTTTCTTGATTTCCGGTCAAATTTGAATGTCATGCCGTTCAAACCGCAGGGATGTTAATATAATTATTTGTAATTATCTATGTATAATCCGTCTAAAATCGACAAAATGAGATATATTTTAGTTAGAATTAAATTTTGTGCCGAATTGAAAAAGTCCTTCCGCCACACCGCGTGAAACACTACTGGCTTCCATGTCCATTTCCTGGATCTGACTGTGCTTCGCTGTCTTTCTCAAATTCCTCCTTTCCTCTCTCTCTCTCTCTCTCTCTCTCTCTTCCCGTAGTTGAAGTAGAAGAAGACTAACAATCATAATATCAATCTTTTTGCGGGAGTTCAATTGGTGCATCTTTAAACATGAAGATTTCGATCTCACTTCTTCTTCTGCTCTTCTGCATCTCTACTTGTTTCTCTTCTCCCGTTTCAGGTTTGTTTCTTTAATTCCGATTTTCATTGTGATTTAATGGTTCTACGTCTGATCTTCACCTTTAACCCCTTCTTCGTCGCTTGTTTTCTGTGTACAGATGGTGTATTCTCCTCTGATTTAGCTTCAATTGGAAGAAACCTTCTCCAGGCCAAGAAACGTATGCTCTTTTTATTCTGCATAATCTGTTTTGAACTCATCAGCTTGTTCTTACTTCTAGTTGTTTTCTCTGGTTTTCATTGTTTTAATCACCAAATCATCTGGTTTAATTCGATTCTCAAAATTGGAGAATGAGGATGAATGATTCGGGTTGATCTATAAGTTAGGGTTTTGCAGCACGAAATTAGCTCAATTTCGATTCAAATCCATGCTCTTGATATATTGAATTTGGCTTTGATTGAATCGATTGGTCTTACTTTTACTTGCAGCTTGTCCTGTAAACTTTGAGTTCATGAATTACACAATCATCACCAGTCGTTGCAAAGGACCACGCTACCCTGCTGATCTCTGTTGTCAAGCATTCAAAGACTTCGCATGTCCTTATGCAGCAGACTTAAACGACTTAGAAAACGAGTGTTCTTCAACAATGTTCAGCTACATCAATCTGTATGGCAGCTATCCACCTGGCCTTTTTGCTAGCTTGTGTCGCGATGACAAAGTAGGCCTCATCTGCCCTGCTTTAGCACCAGGAACAGCAAGGAATGGTGTAGGAGCTGATACCAACAACAGCCACATCATCCGCAACCCATCCTTACTACTCTCACTAACTGCAACTTTTCTTATCTTATTCTTCCGGTGGTTTTGAAGGCTCAAGAATCAAGATTGCCTCTTCATGTTGCCAAATTCCTGTAAGTTTGTTTTGAGTTATTTTTTTAATGTTGTATCATCGATATTAGATAGCCCACGAAGGAGATTCTTTTTTTTATTTTTATTGTTGTATAATTATTTAATATCTTCCCTTACCCACTAAGAAAATTTGGTATTTTTTTTACAACGAATGCATCTATTATTACAATTGGTCTGTAATCAATCATGCTATATATGTGTGGTCCTACTTTGCTATATATAAAACGATCTTTCATCTTTTTGATTCTTGGATAATGTTTTATGTTTATATGGCTGTGAACGAATAGCAATACTTTAAATACCAAAATAAATTTCCCCTTAGAAAGACTAAAGAGAATAAATAGTATGACAACATGCGTAACAGTGCCTGTCAGGTTGTTGCAAATGTGCAACAACGTGAAAGAAACCAGACAATTACACACCCAGTTTGTGGTGTCAGGATTGATCAAACGTAAGATTAATACAACGAGGTTAATCGAATCATATTCTGCGTGTGGCGAAATCAATGAAGCTTTGTCTCTGTTTGAGAAAATCCGTTTTCCAGATGTATATGCCTACAACATGATTATCAGATGCTTAATGTTAGTTAATCGCCAACATGAGTCACTTTTACTTTACAACAAACTCTTAGAGGAAACCCTAACACCCGACAACCACACATACACTTATGTTCTTAAAGCTTGTTCCCAATTAAAAGCTCTTTCCGAAGGTAAACAACTACATGCGCGAATCATCAAAGATGGAATAAAACCCGACACTTATATCCACAGCTCGATGATAAAAATGTACGCAAATTCAGGCGACACGGGGTCGTCTGAACGCGTTCTTTCCCAATTCCCCGACGAAAACGTGTCCGCAAACAACTCCATGATCACTAGCTACATGAACCTGGGAGAAATTCAGTTCGCCCGCCAACTGTTCGATAAAATGTCTACAAGAGATTCAGCAACTTGGAGCGTGATGATAACAGGGTACACCCGAAACGGTATGCACGAGAACGCATTAGCCGTCTTTCAAGAAATGGTAGCGTGTAAGATTCCAATGAACGAGTCGAGTCTTGTGAGCGCGCTTTCTGCATGCGGGCGTTCGGGAGCACTTGATCAGGGTCGATGGATACATGGTTATATCAACCGGACGTGGGGGGAAATTAGTGTTAATCTTGGAACATCAATTGTTGACATGTATGCGGGGTGTGGATGTATTGATTTTGCTTATGAAGTCTTCAAAAACATGTCTTCAAAAGACGTTGTGGCCTATGGAGTTATCATTTCAGGGTTTGCGAAACACGGGTTGGCTCACAAATGTTTTCAACTTTTTGATGAAATGGTTGATAATGGAATACAACCGAATGGAGTTATATTTGTAGCCATACTCACCGCGTGTTCTCATGGAGGATTTGTAGAATTGGGTCAATCATATTTCAACCAAATGACAAGTTTATATGATATTAGACCATCGGTTCACCACTACGGGTGCATGGTTGATCTTTTGGGGCGTGCGGGTAGGCTAGATGAGGCGGAAGAGGTTATAGCAACAATGGTGGAAGAGCCAAATGTGGTTATTTGGGGTGCATTGCTTGCGGCTTGTAGAATCCATAAAGATTTTAAGTGTGGGGAATTGGCTTTTAAGCAGATAGTGGCGTTGGAGCCATGGTCTGGTGAGCGGTATAAGCTAGCAAGTCACGTGTTTGCAGACACAGAAGAAGAACAAGAACAAAAACAAGAACGCGTACATAAATTGAGAAAACAACTTTTGGATAGAAATTTAGAGACAAGGCGAGGGTCGAGCTTGATTGAGGTTGAGGGCCAAGTTCATGAGTTTGTGGCAAGTGATATCGATCATGGAATGTATCAAGATATATATGGTTTGTTCCAGGGATGAATTTTAGATGTTTCTTTTTTAACTTAATGGGTTTAACGGTGACTAATTTTAATTATGGACTTTCTAATTTCTATAGATATTCAAAAATACTCTTATATCCTCCTTAATAAATAAAAGTTTTTTTGTCACATGTCAATCTCTCATGAGTTTTGACACTTGTCATTTTGTGGTATTTTTGAAATAAATATTATCCACTTGTCAATTTTTGGTTTGTTTCAATTTTTAAAATTAAATTCATATACTTATATATGTAAAGTAATAAATATCATATTAAATTGCAACAAATACGTTTTCATTTCTTATTTTAAAGTTGTACATTAAAAAATATTTTCCGTTTACATTTTCATTTAATATTTAATATTTTTTTAAATCAACTCGTGTAATACACGGGTCTCACAACTAGTTTATTAACTTACAATTTAGATTAAAATTTTTATTTACACCAATTTTATGAATTGGAATGAATATAGCACGATAAAAAATTTACACCAGCTTTATGAATTTGAATGAATATAGCATGATGAGAATTTGAAATATCAATTGTGTAATTCTTGTTTTTTCTAGAAAAACAGAAATTTCATTAAAAGCTAGCAAAAAATGTACAATGATCAGTTACATATGTGTGATTTTCGTTGGTGTATTTGAATGAATATGGACGTAGTAAATAGCTCGTTTCAAAGTATTTTATCCTTTAACTATTTTTGTTTGTTTTACTTGGATTATTATTTAACTAGGAAAAGGTCCGTGCGTTGCACGGGTCATTCTTTTTAGAAAAAGACGGTGAAAGTTGTGTGACGAAATTAAGAAACAATAAACAATAGGGACTAATATTATCAAAACTTGAAAATTATATGGCCAAACTCTAAAAGCAAAAACATTCATGTTGAAAGATTTCTTAAAAAAAAAAAGACGGTGAAAGTTGTGTGACGAAATTGAGAAAAAATAAACAATGGGGACTAAAATTATCAAAGCTTGAAAATTATGTGACATTTTTAAAAAAAGACGGTGAAAGTTGTGTGACGAAATTGAGACTATACATTTGGGTTTTAGTTACTAATATTTAGACAAGGTAAAATCGTCATTTATTCTTGTTCGGATAGTTTGGACAATTGTTTGTATCCATCATTTTATTCATACACCAAACTTTTTTATATACATCATTTCATCCATACAACAAACCTTTTGTATACATCACTTAATGCATGCATATATCATTTAAACTCATTCAACACTTTACCATACAAGACTTAATGGGGAAAAAACACGTCTTGAGAAGATTTACAAAGTTGTGCTATAGTTTATTTTTATTTTTTTCATACCCGAACATCCAAGACTTGACTATAACAGTTTTGCTAATAGTTCATTAACTAATCATATCATAATATAATTTTTTTTTAACTTAGCAGCAAAAGACTAATTAAAAACATCTCTAAATTACATTGGGAATATAAAGCAAACGAATACTAATAGAGATAACTAAATAAGTTAAAAAACTTGAGAGGCCTCAATGTTTTCTCATTTCTTTTCGTCAGCGTGCTTGATATAATGTATGCGGTGTTTGGCACAATGCCTCCGGTGCTTGGCGGAATGTCCATAGTGATCGACACAATGTTTGCGGTGCTTGATGAGCATATATGTGAACGGACCTATGGGCCATACCAGTTGATGATATGTAGAGTAAAGTCAAATATGTAGATGATAGTATTCGTAAAATTTACACAAATTAAATTTAGTCGGACTCATTAATAAAGTCATTCCTTTACGTTAAGTATGAATGGTCACACTTTAACTATAAGATTTCATTATTCTAGAAATGAGATTTTGATTTGAATCTAGTATTTGGATATTTGAACATTAAGATGACAACTATTATATTGTTTTGATATATTGGGATATGATCATCATATCAATACTTGTTGTATTATATATTAATATGTTTAATCCATGAATAATATTATTATTTTGAAAGTTCATAGTCGGTTATAACTGTGGGAGCAATTATGAATTAAGACTAATATGAATTGGATTGGTTGACTCTCACCAGATGAAAGTAGGCAAGTGGTTGTAACAAATATTCGTAGGTACTTGTCAGAGAACTAGCACTGAACAGGCTTGCATCAAGGTCACCTCATATATCGTTGTTATAAGTGATATTTGATTAAAAATGTACTATCTTTGTATCTTTAACACCTGAGATACATAGTGAGACTTAAGTGTAGGGGAGTGTTGTGCTTTAATATGGTCAAATGTTTATCTTTAATTGGGTAGTTATAAAAGTCATTTCTAGGTATGGTGTGAACTATGCAAGATGCTTATATAGTCAATATGAGATTTGTTCCTCTTATGTGTTAAGGTTTAGAAATTTAACGGGTGTTACCCAAAGTCGAACACCAAATGAGATTGATTGTGATCCAAGTCTCATGCTCAACAAGATGTTTGTAACAAAGGAATAACTGATAAACTTACCTTATACATCAACTAAAGTTTTTGATCTTTTGGGAATTAGATGTTGATGAATGACATTCTTCTTCATGTGTTATTGGGGCGGTGAAATGTTGATAGACGTTCACCATTGTCTATATCAATCTGTGATGAGTCTTGTGTAAGTGGGAGATTGAAAGATCTTATATGCCCACGAGTCATGTTAGAATGATATTGTGAATGACACATGATCCTATAAGGTCACACATTATAGCAAGTTACTACTAATTAATTAGTTATTAGAGTATTTTTGTTATTAATAAATATCAACACTTGTATTTAATTGAAAAAACATTGTTTTATAAAAATAATATTTTCCAGCATATTGAGAATTCTAGGAAATAATAATAATAGAGAACAAAACAAGCTAAATATCATATGTTATGAATATAAATGTTGTGTACAACTTTTTGGGCACTTGAAATAACCATTTAGTTAAGATGCAACTAGCTAGTTATGGGTTAAGTAATGAACACTCCATCTTTTAAATTTAAACTAATAGTTTAAATAAATAAATAACTAAAATAATTGGATTCAATTTAGAAATTTAAAAATTATAAAGAAAGTTGCATTAATGTATTAGATATACATTTATTATTATATTTATTACATTTATGTAAATGAAATTTAATAAAATGGAAAAAACCACAAAATGACACATGAATATAATTTAATCTAAATTTACCACAAAATGACATGTGGCATAATGCATAAGAGGATGACAAGTGGCAAAATTATTTTCATTTATTAGGAAGGATTTCTATGGTTCATTAAAAAACTAAAAAACCAAACAAAAAATTAGGCAATATATGATACACAATTAATAACAGAAAACATTAGGGGGTTGGTGTTTTTTTAGGAAAATAAGAGCAACAATTTTATAACTTAAGTAACTATTCCAACCTGTTTTTTAGGAAAATAAGACACAAAAAACAACTATTTTCAACCCTTTTTAGGTGGATGATGAGCCCACATCTTTCTCCCTCTCAAAGTAGGTCCACAACAACTTCATAATTCCAATAACTATTCCAATGTATATACCATTTTACCAAACGGTTGTATTTATCAACTAGAATTGAATAGCACAATTGGATAGAGATGTGATTATTCATCATGTTTTACGATCAAAAGGGTATCTAAACAGTCAATGGCCTAAATTCAAACAACAAAGACCCAAAACAGGGCAAATATTATATGATGGTGGCGCATCTAAACAAAAAGTTGCTCATAACAATGTATGATATGCTATCCAAACACGCAAAAGTTACATTGTTTGACCAGCAGACAACCAAATTATTTAACTTCATGTAAATATGAGGATACTTGATGGCCCTATCATCACTTTCTTTCCCCATGAATCCAACATGTGGGAAATTGTAAATGATCCGATCAAATTTTTACATTTGAAGATCAATGGTGACATCTAAACAGAAAGTTGCTTATAAGAATGTATGATATGCTATCCAAATAGGCACAAGTTACATGGTTTAAGGATACAGTTTCATATTGATCTTCGGTTGCAAAAGTTTGATCGGATCATTTACAATTTCCCACATGTGGGATTCGTAGGTAAAGAAAGTGATAATAGGGTCATCAAGTATCCTTCTATTTACATAAAGTTAAACAATTTGGCTGTATGTTGGTCATTTTTACCTTCTAATATTCAAAAGAAATATGTAATTATATTGATCATCACTTATAAAACATTTTTTCCCTTTTCCATTTCTCATTGTAGGACACATAAGTCTTGTTCATGGTTTTCTGAAAAATGCTAGTGGTATGTTGCTTGCGGATTGCGAAATACATATCAGCCACAAGCCCACATGCTCCATTTGAGTGTTGGGATATTGAAGGAACGGCTACTAAAAGCTACCTAAAGTTGCTTGAATGTGTTGACTTCAACATTGAAGACTATCCCTCTTATAACAAGGGAGGGGATGGTAGAAATTCTTACCAGCTGTTTCCTTGAGAAACTCCAGCACGTTCAGGTTCATTATGTGTTTAAAAGCCAAGAACTCAAGCATTTCACATTATATTCAAACTTGAGAAAAGTCATCAGAAATAATAAATGCATTAATGATGGCTAAGAATCCTTCCTGGGTTATAACAAAGAGCAAGAATGGGGATTGTTTTAGGATTCTTAGAGACTACTTTCATCGTGTGTTGTCGACGAGTGTGAAAGCTGGTGACCATGTGCAAGATATGTTGAAAAGGGATTTCAAAGGAATGTTATGACATGCCGAATGTTATTCCATCATGCAATTCATAAATCATAACGATCCTTTCAAATCCCCTTTTCGGCACATCTTGCACATGGTCATCAGCTTTCGCACTTGTTGAGAACACAAGATGGAAGTAGTCTCTAAGAATCTTGAAACAATCTCTATTCTTGCTCTTCGTTATAACCCGGGAAGGATTCTTAGCCATCATTAATGCATTTTTTCTTTCTGATGACTTTTCTTGAGTTTGACTACAATGTCAAATGCTTGAGTTTCTGGCTTTTTAACACATAATGAACTTGATCGCGTTGCATTTTCTGAGAGGAAACCGCTTGTTGTTATTGTCTCTTGTAATGAAATCACTTGACGTTGTCTAATAGTGTGAAGGGCTTGATTCTTGACTTTTGAAGACAATATGAACTTGAAATTAGAACACTTCCCTAGTCAGATTTTCTACCATCTCCTCTTTTATTGTGTTGTAACGAGGATCATCTTCAATCTTCAACTACTGGGCACATTCAAGCATTAATTTTAAACAACTTAATTTGAGTTTCCAGCTCTTCCATATGCCAAGAGTCTAACAGGTGTGAAGTCTTATGTATTACATGAACTTCACTATTTGGAAGCAACATGCCACTTGTGTTGAAGGTGAAACCACATACTAAGCGTTTTTTTGCCTTCTACAAGCAACACCAAGATGGTGAAACGAAAAGGAAAAAGAATGTGCTATAAAGGCGGAGTAGTTTACAGATGCATGTTTAGACAACAATAATGATGGATTGTTTGAAATAGAGAGTCGGATTTAATTAAAAGTTTGAAAAGCCAACTTGCATTATATATGATTACTTAATTAGGTCAAATTTCATATGAAACTTCATATTGATAGAATACACTCAATGTAACAAAAGAGCTTAAAAGTTACAAAAGATTTCAAACCTTATATTTGCTCTCTCGTAGTTCTTGGTTAGAACACCTGGTAAACTCGACAGTATGAGAATAATTGATTAATTGCACCAGTAAAAACAAACAGTAATTGCTAAACGGTTTCTCATTCTTCCTTACCCTCCTTTCTCCCTGTTGTTCTTTCTTTGTTCTTACTAACGTCCATTGACTATGATTTGCAATACGTAAACTATAAATTTTAAATTTAGGAGCAATTAACTAGTATTACCTTAAATAGTTGTGCATCGTTCTCGTATCCAACCATGTATTCGAACATCCACGTTGCTTTCTCTTTTATGGTTTCTTTAGGGTTTTTGCTCACTTATAATCCTTTTTCCTTAGGCCACAAGGCAAACAAGCGACGTTTTGAAATATGGACCGGACCAGTTGGCCCGGGAACCGATTTTTTAGTATTAGCTAAAACGCAATAAGTTGATAAGTTAATTTTGAACATTATAAATTTTGTTTATACATGTAAAATGACTAAAAATTTAACTTTACATATCCTCGTACTTCCTTTTTCGTTTGTATGCATAACAGTTAGTTTTTAAATTATGTAATGATATATTTTACCACATTGTGAATTAATATTGCAAGCTCCATGAAAAAATTATACTAACTAATGTCTTAACTAATAAGAAAGCTGGATTGGATTCATCGGAAAGACTTTTCTCTCTCAATGGGAGACGGATGGACGGAAGTTCGGCACCGGAAAAAACCAGGGATTCATCGGAACGATTCTGACATAACAAGCTATTTCGTTTCCAACATTCCCAATGGTACGACAAAAGAAGAGTTCAGGAGAATATTCAAGACATTTGGGACGCTGTCAGACGTCTACTTTGGAGGAAGAAAAGGAAAAAATGGGAAGAACTTTGGCTTCATTCGATTTGAGAATGTTACAGACAAGAAGTTACTAGAATCAAAACTGAATGGTATAATTTGCAGGAACTATAAACTGGAGATAAATATAGCGAGACATGAAAGGACAGAGAAACTGCAGCCACCCAGTGGGGTGAGAAGATGGAGTCGTACTCACGTGCCGATCCCAGTCAAAGTTAGAGGAGGATTCACGGGTGAAAAATCATATGCAGAAGCTCTTAGTGGTGGTGACAAAGTCAAAATCCTCCTAAAGAACCTACCACCCAACCTTGCGCCTGTTCGTCTAGTTATCAATGAAAATATGGTGCGTTGGTTGAAGGGGTCCACTCTCATCGGTGAGGTGAAATCATTAGACCATCTCGGACATCTGCCGGCATTGCTCTCTATTCATTGTGACATGGATATGAAGGTCAAATACGCGGGAGGTATGAAGGCCATTCTTGAGTTTGGATCATCGTCTAAAGCTAAGGATTTCCTGTCGAACGAAAAAAACTGGAAAGATATATTCAACTCTATCAAGCTTGGTGGAGAGAATGATTATAAATTTGATCGTGTTGCAAATGTAAGAATTGTTGGATTGCCTATAAGGTTATGGAGTGAACCAAATTTCTCTGCCATTGTGGAGAAGTTCGGGAAGATAATTATTCCGTTTGATCATATTGGGGATAGAATGGACCTCTCAGTAGTAAAAATCGGCATCCTTACGGAAGAAAAGAAAAAGATCAATGAAGTTATTAAGACTGAAGTTGGTGAGGAAACGTTCGACATTGGTGTGGTTGAGTATGAAGATGAACCATGGTTTCCCTTCAAGTTCGATGATGTTGATCAACCATATCAATCTGAACCTGAAGATAATTCTGACGGGGACACAGAAGTTGTTGAATCCGACAAAGACGACGGTGTGCATGGTTCTAATGAAGATGAAGATGGTATTTCAGATACATGGATGGATGATATTGAAGATGGTGAAATAGTTGGAGATGTGAATAGGAAAAGCAATGGAATCAGATGTTGTGGGATCGCCGGTGAAGAAGTCTCTTCCGATGGCCCGGACGCAGTAGCAGTCCCGCACCAAGCGCCTATGGCGATCTTGGAATCCGAAAAGGCGTTTACTTATTCCAATGAAGTGAAAACGATTCTGATTCCCACTGATACTGGCCTAACTGATGATAATGAAGCATGTGGAGATAAGCCTAAGGAATTCGATCGGGGCACAGTTGGCCTGGCCATACAGGATGCTTGTAAAATGGATAATCCGCTATTGGGCTCCCCAAGGCCCACTTCGCCCACCTCCTTCCCTTCCATATTAGCCCAGTCAGGTTGTTTTGGACCTTTTCCATATAACAAGCAGACCCCTTCCCCCACTTGTCAAACATCCCAACTGCAAGGTATCAATATTGGGCGTTCGTAAAAAAAAAGGTGATTCTCTCAAGTCCTCTCCCCGACAAGAGACTTATGACAGTACCCTGTCCAAGCTTTATTTCGCGATGGAGATGGAAACGAATCAACGCCTGACTCTCATCGGACTGAGATGGTACCAATCTCTTCCCTCAATCAACCTCCAGATGCTAATAAATCTATTCAAATTAACGAAATCGAAGCAACAGCTGAAATTGGGGCTATGCTTGGATTTGAGATCGATGCCAACAATGAATTGTTGGCAGGAATCCTAGGAGTATCAGGTGAGACAAGAACTTCCAAATGAATTTTCTATCCATCAACATCAGGGGAATAGGGGAGAAATATAAGGTGGATTGGATTCGAAAATTGAAATCAAAGTATAGAATCTCCTTCTTAGCAATACAAGAGACACAGTTACTTGAGGCAGAAAACATCAATGTCCAAGCTTGTTGGAGTGCAGAAAACTTTGGAGATAGTCGTGTAAATTCATCAGGTAGGTCTGGGGGTTTGTTGAACTTGTGGGACAGGGACTTGTTTAATTCGCTTGAGGTTATTTCATCTAGACATTACTTAATCAACATTGGCACTTGGAGGGGTATTAATGAGAATGTGATTTTTGCTAATATTTATGGGCCTCAATCCATTCTTGAGAAAGATGCATTATGGAAAGAATTAATTGGCTTAAAAAACTCTAAGACAGGAATTTGGATTATGATGGGCGACTTTAATGTGGTAAGAAGGAGTGAGGAGAGGTTAAATTCAGTCTTCTGCCCAAGAGCTGCTAAGGAATTCAATAATTTCATACATGAATCAGGCCTCATAGATCTGAAAATGGGGGGCCGTCGCTTCACATGCTTTCGTAATTTAGATCTTAAACTTAGTAAGTTAGATCGATTCCTGGTTTGCCCAAGATTTTTAAATCTTATTCCTAATGTCTCGGTTACTGCTCTCCCAAGAGAAATTTCGGATCACTGTCCTATTCTGTTGTCATCGGCTCGTAGAGACTTTGGTCCTTCCCCATTTAGATTCTTTAACTCCTGGCTGTTAAGGGACGATTTTGAAAAGGCATTCATATCCAGTTGGAATAATTTCATTGGATTTGGTACCCCTGACTTGTATCTAGCTGCTAAACTCAAACACGTCAAGAAAGGATTGAAAGAATGGAGAGCATCTGCCCATCCTAAAGAGGAAGTTGAATTGTCTCGACTCAAGAAACTGATGGACCATCTTGATATGGCAGCCGAGACAAGACAATTAACGGAGGATGAGATCAAGGTTTGCAGTTCGGGGTATAAATCAATAGTTGAGCTGGAAAAACTCAAGGCCCTTGACCTTAGACAAAAATTCAGGATCAAGTGGGCAATAGATGGGGACGAAAACACCAGGTTTTTTCACGCACATATAAACAAAAACAACCGTAAGAACTTGATTGATGGTCTGCTGATCAATGGGGAATGGTGTACAGATCCAGCAGCTATAAAACAGGAGGTATATTCATTTTTCTCTGAAAAATACAATGAAAAGTTCCCTCTCAGGCCGAAATTAAACAACCACCGCTTCAAGAAAATTTCTAGCGAAGAAATGCAACAGTTGGAATCTCCTATTTCCCTGTGTGAAATTAAGAATGCAGTGTGGGCGTGTGGTAATGAAAAGGCACCGGGGCCTGACGGTTTCACGTTTAAATTTATTAAAAAATATTGGGAGGTTCTCTTGGGAGACATTGCAGCGGTTGTTAAATATTTCGAGAGTTATGGGAATCTTGACTCGTCATGTAACTCTTCCTTCATATCGTTGGTTCCTAAAGTCAAGGATCCCCTTCTAATTAGTGACTATAGACCGATCAGTCTTATAGGCTGCGTTTACAAAATCATCTCCAAACTTCTTTCACTGAGACTGAAGAATGTCGTGGGGAAGTGCATTGACGAGGCGCAATCAGCGTATATTGAAGGTCGGAATATATTGGAAGGGCCCCTGGTTGTGAATGAAGTTTTCTCCTGGGCAAAAAAGAATAAAAAGAAGATACTTCTTTTCAAGGTTGATTTTGATAAAGCCTTTGATTCATTAAACTGGGATTTCCTTGACTCAAATTTAGTGAACATGGGATTCGGCAACAAAATAAGAATGTGGTTAAAAGGATGTCTTGTTTCCTCCAAGTCCTCAATACTTGTAAATGGCTGCCCAACCGAAGAATTCTCTATATCCAAAGGGGTCAAACAAGGCGATCCACTCTCACCGTTTCTGTTTATTATAGCCATTGAGGGTCTTAGTGTAGCGATGAAGTCGGCGTGTGAACTAGGCATCTTCCATGGGATTAATTTGCCAAATGGGGGGCCAACACTCTCCCACTTGCTATATGCGGATGATGCTCTTTTCTTGGGGGAGTGGTCAAAGCAAAACATCAAGAACCTATCATGCATCTTACACTGCTTCCATGTTGCATCAGGGCTTAAAGTCAATTTCAATAAATCTAGAGTATTTGGAATTGGTGTTGACACTCAGGAGGTGACAAATTGGGCGAGACCTCTAGGATGTGAACCATCCTCCCTTCCTTTTACCTATCTTGGTGTCCCGGTTGGAGCCAATATGAAGTTGAAGAAACATTGGATGCCGATTATAGACAGATTCAAAGAAAAACTTTCAAAGTGGAAATCTAAAAATCTATCCTTCGGTGGAAGATTGACCCTCATCCAATCAGTCCTAGGCAACCTCCCAACTTATTATTTATCTTTATTTGTGGCTCCAGAGGGCGTCATCGAAACTCTTGAAAGGTTGAGGAACAGATTCCTTTGGGGTGGATCAGATGAGAGGAAGGTTATTCATTGGATTTCGTGGGACAAAGTGACAGCCCCTAAAGACTCGGGTGGACTTGGCGTTGGCACGATAAAGGCCCTGAACATATCCCTCATTATGAAGTAGTGGTGGAAGCTTAGAACCAAACCTGGCCAATTATGGGCATCAGTCATATACAGTGTACACAACCTCCGTTCCAAACCTGACGACTGTTACTCGATGAAGACTTTACCCGGGGTATGGAACAACATTGCAGGTATAAAGAATGATCTCATGAAAAAGAACATCCCTGTTTGCTCGGTGTTTTCCAAGCATCAAGGCCCCACAGGTGAAATCTGGAAATGTGGCTTAACTCCGGATGATTCATATTCAGTGTGTGCCCTGAGGAATAAATGTGACTATAGAACCCCTACCATTGATTCTAATTTTCAATGGATTAAAGAAATACCACTGAAAGTATCCTGCTTCATCTGGAGGGCGCAAGCGGGCAGAATTCCAACCGTAAATGAACTGTCAAAAAGAGGGGTATATGTGGAATCATTGACATGCCAGATATGTGAGGAGATAGAAGAATGTCCAGACCATACTCTTGTGGCATGCTCTTATGCAACGATGGTCACAGAGGGGATATTAAGATGGTGTAGGGTGCAAGCTGGAAGCTTTCATAAGGTGAATCAAATTCTAGAATTTGCTGCCAAGTGGGGATCGTGTTCCAAAAGAAGGAGGATTTTTATGGCCATTTGTTACTGTATGCTATGGTCTATTTGGAAAGCAAGAAACGATAGAGTTTTCAATAACAACCGGCTGCCACCTGATAAAGTCATAGACATTGTCAAATCTATGAGCTTTCTTTGGGTGAAAAACAGGGGTAAAAGAAAGGAGTTAGCCTGGGCAAATTGGTCTCTGTTGAGTAGGTGAAGCCACTCAAATATTAGTGGCAGAAATCATGATACCACTCAAATATTAGTGGTTGAAAAGCAAGTCAAAAGTGGAAAAGGAGAGGTGATTCAGTTTTCCCGTTTGCATGTTTCATGGTCTGCTTTTCTTGTCTAATTATCATTTCAGACTCTATATATATGAATCTCATTTGTATTGTAAAATGTGTGAAAGAAAAAACACAGAGTGAGTGCAGATTAGCACCAAGAAATATAAACTCCTAGTTACCGAGAGTGGACGTAGGTCGGAGATTGGACCGAACCACTATAAATCTTGTTGTTCTTGAGTTTAGCGTGTGTTGTGTGTTGTATGTTCGTGTGATTCTCGTGTGTCGAGCCTATCAATTGGTATCAGAGCTGTGGCTCTTGATCGTTTCACACGAACCAGCTGAGGTGAAGAAGGAAGTCGCTTACCTGTGAGAATCGGAACTAGTGCTCCGATCAGAAACCATCGTCAGCCGCTGCCGACCGTTCAACCCGCCGTAGGTTCCGTCGTCGTGAACCAATTCTGACTCTCGAGGAAGAAGGAAAGACGGTGTTCTTTTTTTAAGAAAGAAGAAAAGAAATGGATTGTAGAGAAGCAGTTTTTTCTTGTGGAGAAGAAGACTGATTCTCGTGGTGCTCAGTGGAAACAAAAGAAAAAAAAAATAATAACAAGTGGATCTTTCCACCAAAAGCTACGCATGCAGTGGAAAAGCATTTGAAAAGCAAAAGAAACGCACACGCAAAGCAAACGCACGCTTTGTCTAGTTTTTTTTTTATTATTTTCAGAAAATTGCAGTTTAGCCCCTGAACTTTCAGAAAATTGCAGTTTAGCCCCTGAACTTTCAGAAAATTGCAGTTTAGCCCCTGAACTTTCAGAAAATTGCAGTTTAGCCCCTGAACTTTCAGAAAATTGCAGTTTAGCCCCTGAACTTTCAGAAAATTGCAGCTTAGCCCCTAAACTTTCAGAAAGTTGCAGTTTAGCCCTTGAAGTTTCAGAAAATTACAAAATGGCAGAAGATGGTAAAATCAAGATTGACAAGTTTGATGGAACCGATTATGGATTTTGGAAAATGCAAATTGAAGACTTGTTGTACCAGAAAAGTTTGCATTTACCCATGTTGGGCGAACAACCAGATGAAATGTACGATGACGAATGGAAGCTGTTGGACAGACAAGCCTTGGGTGTAGTTAGGCTTTCATTGGCGAAGAGTGTTGCGTATAACATTGTCAATGAAACAACTACTTATGGAGTATTTAAGGCTTTGTCCAACATGTACGAGAAGCCATCCGCTTCCAACAAAGTGTTTCTCATCAAACAATTAGTTAACACCAAGATGAAGGAGGGCATGTCAGTTACCGCTCACATAAATGAGTTTAACTCGATTATCTCTCGTTTAGCCTCAGTTGCAATAAAGTTTGAAGATGAAGTACAAGCACTCCTCCTTTTATCATCTTTGCCCGATAGTTGGTCAGGCACAGTCACAGCTGTTAGTAGTGCATCCGGCACTATCAAACTCACTTTCGAGAGCATTCGTGACTTGATTGTAAATGAAGATATCAGACGGAGAAGCAATGGTGAGACTTCTAATTCTAGTTCTTTATTGCATACAGAAAGTAGAGGAAGAAGAAACGAAAGAGGACGTAGTCGAGGCAGATCAAAGTCCAGAAAAAGGGGGCAGTCCAAAAACCGGAAGGATATTGAATGTTGGAATTGCAAAGAAAAAGGTCATTTCAGAAACCAGTGTCCAAAATCAAAAGCTGAAAAGAAAGAAGTAAACAGTGTATCCTCAGAAGAATCAGGAGAATTTCTCATATGCAGTGTTGAGAATTCAGAGGAATCCTAGATTATGGATTCAGGCGCTTCTTTCCACGCTTTCTCATGTCTAGATACGGTCAAAAACCTACGAACATGTGATTTTGGCAAAGTTAGTTTGGCCGATGATCAAGTGCTTGATATTACGGGTATTGGAGATGTAGATGTGAAGACCTCTATGGGAACCACGTGCACATTGAAAGATGTCAGGGTTATCCCAAACTTGAGGAGAAAGTTGATTTCAGTTGGTAAATTGGATGATGAAGGGTTTCATGTTCACTTTGGGGGTGGACAATGGAAAGTGATCAAAAGTAACTTGGTGATTGCAAAAGGAAAGAAGAAAGGTACTCTATACATGGTAGAGATACCCAGTGATGGTGTTCATGCCGTAACTGCCAATTCGAGTCCATCTAAATTGTGGCATCAACGACTCGGACACATGAGCAGTAAGGGATTGAAGATGTTGGCTCAAAATGGGAAGTTTCCAGACTTGAAGAAAGTGGAAACAGAATTTTGTGAATCATGTGTTCTCGGGAAACAAAAGCGCGTCACTTTTGTTAAGAAGGGGAAGACACCGAAAGCTCAGAAGTTGGAGCTTGTTCACTCAGATGTATATGGACCAACATCAGTTTCATCTCTAGGAGGTTCAAACTACTATGTTACCTTTATTGATGATTCAACACGCAAGGTATGGGTCTATTTTCTTAAAAATAAATCTGATGTATTTGATACTTTTAAGATATGGAAATCTGCTGTTGAAAATGAAAGTGATTTGAAGGTAAAGTGCCTGAAGTCGGATAATGGTGGTGAATACATAAGCAAGGAGTTTGTTGACTATTGTGCCAAGCAAGGGATAAAGATGATCAAGACGGTCCCAGGAACCCCTCAGCAGAATGGTATTGCTGAAAGAATGAATAGAACTCTAAATGAAAGGGCTAGAAGCATGAGGTTGAATGCCGGTTTACCCAAGACGTTCTGGGCCGATGCAGTTAACACTGCTGCCTACTTGATCAATCGTTCACCGTGTTTTCCCTTGGATTTTAAATTACCAGAAGAAATGTGGCAAGGGAAGGAAGTAAGTCTCAAACACCTGAAAGTCTTTGGTAGTACTGCTTACAGTTTGTTAAAAGATGGTGACAGGGATAAACTTGATTCAAAGACCAAGAAGTGCACATTCATTGGTTATGGGTCAGATGAAATGGGTTACAGGCTTTGGGATAGTGAAAGCAGAAAGATAATCCGAAGCAAGAATGTCACCTTTAACGAAGCCGAGTTATACAAAGACAGAAACAACAAAAGTCCAGAAGATCAGAAGGAGTATGTTGAGTTTGAAGGTGTTGAAAAGAAGAAAGAAGCTCCAGTCGAAATCCCTGAATCTGGGGATGATTCAACTGACAGTGGGAGCTCAGGGGATAATTCCAGTAATGATTCTGAAGATGAAGAAACTAGTCCTCCAACTCCAGAACTCCAGTCACACCTCAAGTCCAACTAAGAAGATCTTCCAGAGTCATCAGACCACCACAAAAATACTCACCATCTGTCAACTATATTCTCCTGACAGAAAATGGTGAACCCCAGTGTTACTCTGAAGCTAAGAGGTTAAAAGATTCATTGCAGTGGGAGCTAGCAATGAAAGATGAAATGAAGTCGCTTGAGAAGAACAAGACCTGGCACTTAACAAAGCTTCCAGTTGGGAAGAAGGCTCTTCAAAATAAATGGGTTTTCAGGGTCAAGGATGAACATGATGGTACCAAACGGTACAAAGCCCGATTAGTAGTCAAGGGGCTTCAACAAAAAGAGGGAGTTGATTTCAATGAAATTTTTTCTCCAGTGGTGAAAATGACTACTATTCGGCTGGTTCTCAGTATTGTAGCAGCAGAGGGCTTGCATCTAGAGCAGCTAGATGTCAAGACAGCTTTCCTACATGGTGACCTAAATGAAGACATTTACATGATACAACCTGAGGGTTTTCAGGTTAAAGGCAAAGAAAACCTAGTATGTAAACTGAAGAAGAGTTTGTATGGTCTGAAACAAGCACCCAGACAATGGTATTTGAAGTTTGATAACTTCATGAGAAGAGTTGGTTACAAGAGATGTGACAATGATCATTGTTGTTACATCAAGAAGTTTAAGGGTTCTTATATCATTCTACTACTCTATGTAGACGATATGTTGATTGCAGGTTCAGACATGTCAGAGATCAACAAGTTGAAGAAACAGATGTCTGAAGAGTTCGAAATGAAAGACTTGGGAGCTGCAAAGCAAATACTCGGGATGAGTATATTCAGAAACAAAGATGGTTCTTTAACACTATCTCAAGAAAAGTACATTAAGAAAGTATTAGAGAAATTCAGCCTTAAAGATGCCAAGATCAGAAGCACACCTTTGGGAAGTCACTTTAAGCTTTCTAAAGCTCAGTCACCCAGATCAGATGATGACAAGAAAGAAATGGCTAAAGTTCCTTATGCATCCGCAGTTGGTAGCCTCATGTATGCAATGGTATGCACGAGACCAGATATAGCTCATGCAGTGGGAGTTGTTAGTCGATTTATGTCCAATCCGGGGAGAGAACATTGGGAAGCAGTTAAATGGCTGCTAAGATATTGAAGGGGACTTCAAAAGTGGCATTACATTTTAAGGGGAAAGATGTTATTCTGAAGGGTTTTGCGGATGCAGACCTTGGTGGTTGCAAAGAATCATACAAAAGCACCACCGGATATGTCTTTACAGTGGGAGGCACTGCGGTAAGTTGGATGTCCAAACTACAGAAAAGTGTTGCCCTTTCAACCACAGAAGCAGAGTATATAGCAGTTGCTGAAGCAAGCAAAGAACTTATATGGTTGAAGAATTTTCTCATCGAACTTGGCAAAGAACAAGATAATTGTGAACTATTCTGTGACAATCAAAGTGCAATTCATCTTGCAAAGAATCCCGTCTTTCATTCGAAGACAAAGCACATACAGCTGAGATATCACTTCATCAGAGAAAGAATTAATGATGGCACTCTGAAGTTGAATAAGATCAAAGGAACTGAAAACCCAGCTGATATGTTGACTAAGGTTGTCACCTTAGAGAAGTTGAAGCTTTGCATAGCTTCAACTGGCCTTCAGGATAATTGAAGAGAAGGTCGGGTAACTAGGATGGAATCAAGATCAAAAGTGTTTTACAGAAATTCAAATGCACAG